AGAGTGGACTGCAGTTTCGACCTCTCAGCGGGAGTCGAACCGCCACAGTGCAGGATTGGAGCTTGACACGCTAACCACTCGGCTATACTGCCACGAAATTTGCATTAGCCCTGAGACCCAATGAATGAAAACAACTTTTGGGAAAGCAAGGCTATGTGAAATTCATTGGAAACGTCAGCTCAATTCATATCATTGTGGGAAAATTCTTCTTCTACCAGTCCTTCATATCTTAAACGAAATTGGGTGAATACATCTCATATTTTAAGTTGATCATGCTTCCTTTTTTCTTCATAACTGCCTCGACCATTTAAAAACCTACCAGTTTACGAAGCTTCCAGCTGGTCAAACTTCAAACTGTCCTGAGCCCATGATGGCAGTTGCCATTAAAAGAATATCGAAAATGCCATCTGATACTTTGCCAGACAAGCAGCTTGATTGTGACCTCAATTGGTCTGAGTGCAAAGCAATTTGGGCTTATGCTTCTTCCCCCGTAATATTGTTAAAGTGCAGGTTCATCATGAATTTGATGCGCCGTCCGCTCCAACACTACAATTGTCCCTTTTTTGGTCTTTTAATCTGAATTTAAGGTGGTTGATTTTACGAGAGGTCAAGTTTTATTCATTAAACTGTAATATCTACACTTTTATCACCTCATCTCTCTTCTAAATTAATGCCGTTATCCATCCCTTAAACGTACCTGGATCCCCTAAATTACTGAAGCTCGTGAAGTTTATTCGAAAGTATGAAGAACAAGATGATGTGGCATTTTGTATGGTCGCAATCTCCTTTCGCTGCATAGTTGTTGTTTGAATTTGTTTTCGAAACTTGGTCATATTGATAGAAAGACCTGTGGGCATCTGTGAGCATAAATATAAGGGTGAAACAGAAAAATAAATCAGCCTACGAATCACGGAACACCAAAGACTCTGCAGAAACATGGATACGATAAGATTCGAAATAGCAGAACACATCGCACGAAAGGAACACGAAATCGAGTGGAAATCGAGAGAACGGCTGGCTGCGTATGGTGAAAATACAAGAAAACGCAAGATACCAGAATCTATCGATATCCTGACTGAAAGAAATCCAATGAACAGGAGAATTGAAAAAAGCAAGATTGGCAAAAACTTTGCATACTGCCTAAGCAATATCAGCAAAAAGAAGAGGACTGGACAAAGGTGATATTTTTAATTTTAGGAAAATAAATTACAAGGAGACCATAGGGGAACAATCGGAAGCCAAGAGGACACGTCTAGAGTGAGCCTATTGAAATCAGCTATGACTATCACATTATGTGGTCGGCACACAAGAAACTATGGCATAAGAAAGGCATAGACTTGGCTTTAAGGATATAAAAGCGAGATAGGCTCCTAGATGTGGTCCATGTAGTAAAGGCTTGACCACGAGATTTACTCGGTACACATGTGGCGCAGTGGCAAGAGAATCTGCAGCGTCAAGTTAGGTTATCATACCAATTGGAGGCTTGCTCTGTGAGGCTGGCATATACGGGCTATAAAAGACTTGAAGCAGAGTGTATAGCATGACGTCTTGAGTAGCACAGATACGGTAGCAGCTAAACAGACAGTTAAGAGACGGATCCTACGGAGCAAGAGGGAAACTCTGATGAGACCTGGAGTAAAAGGATTGCGGACTAAACTGCAGTCCTGACCTAACACTCCCAGCACAACAGTAGGGATGTAGGAACGAGTGGGGAGTGTGAATATGTTTCGAATAGGCTTAGATAAACAAGAAATCATGATATTTATGGGGTGATACGGGGATATAGGATAAGTGAATACTTCAGGACAGAAGGAGAGATACCATAACCATTAAGCAAACAATTGATCAAAGGATCGACTTCAATTGTCTTTGACGAGTTGTATTGTGGTTGCAAGAATGGCAAGGCTCACTGACGAAAATCTTGGAATGTACCATTTTCACGGTCCGACTCTGGAAATGATCGCGCATTCTATGGACTCCGGACAAGGTGCGTTCCTCTAGGCCTTCCTACCAGTATGACCAAGTTTCTAAAACAAAGTCAAATAGCTAAGTTTCGTTGGACAAAACATTTGGCGAGGCGAATGGATATAACTTTATTGGTTGGATGTCTGGAGTTTAGCATAAATGAGTTGTAGCTGCGCAATCCCAAAAATTATATTTGGTAGGGCCATTTTCGTACTTTGCTTGTGTCTAAGTATGTAACGAAGGAAAGTATTCTGCGATTTCTTCTCTTGTGCTGTTTCAACTTCATTCGGTTTACGACACTAAACTTGAGCTATACTATTGCATTATGATTTAAGGATCTTTATTCAATACTTTTTACTTTCGGCCAGAAATTACCAGTTACAGTCTGACAATGAGACTGGCTATCTCTCCTAGGACTTTGTATTTATCCACACGATATAGTATCACATGTAACTATTCTCTTTATAAAAGATTCATCCTTATAGGTTAG